GATGATTGATGGTGGATATATTGTTGGTTTAGTGGTTAAAATGATGGATTAATGGTGTGTAATTGATAGAAATTTCATTGGGTGCAAGAAGCAAAAGTTTCTGATTTTGCCCCTACCTTGTTCGGCCATTTTAAGGCCAATTTTTAATGATCTAATGGCTTGAATCTGATGTTTATATGACGTATTACATGTGTGAAAAATTTCATTGAAAAATAATGAGGTTTGGTTGGGCAAATGAATTTTTTTTGTGAAACTAGCAAATCTGGAAACTGTTCACGTATGGCTCTGACCAGCAGTGGTGTTTCGGCCATAACTCCGTCCTCGGGTGTCGAAATCATGTGCCGTCAGTGGCGTTGGAAACTAGACATTCCAGGCATTAATTTGAGATAAAATGCACCTTCTGATTCTTTGTGAGTGAGCCGAACCAAACGTTTTAAGATCGCTGTCCTGTTGCTCTGTTCAACTGGAATGAAGTGATAAGGCAGCAAATTGATGCCCGATTTTGAACTAGTTGGGTGCCAAATTTTGAAATGATTTCTTCTGTGATATTATAGGCCTATGAATGTATTTTTCAACGACATAAACCATGCCCCATTTTGAGTTAAATTGACTGAGTTGTGACCAAAACAAGAGGACTGCCCTGTTTTGGAAAAACCGAAATACTTGGACTGGTTTGGGACAAAACCTAGGAGTGATCTTATTAATTGAAGTTCTTGATGCTAAACACTTACCAAAGGTATCATGGATGTATCTTAGACCTTTATTTCACAAATGAACCATGGTTGGATAGCTTTCTTGATTAAACGATTTGAATTGGGAAATGAAGTCAAAAGACAGGTTGCTTTAGAAATTTTCCTGAACTTTGGATGATTAATTAACTATCTTTTTAAAGGTATTTTTCGCTGAAATTTGATAGAGCGGTACCTTTCATATAGGAGTAACATACTGCAAACTTTTATACCAATCCAAGTTCGTTTTGACACTTAGCTAAGGTTCCAATTTTTGGAAACTCAAATCTGGAAATTGTTCACCAGACTTGAATTTTCCCAACTTCGAGCTACCGTATCTCGGTGCTCGAAACTCCAATTCTCAATCCGTTTGTTCTGCCCTAAACCTTACTTGCACCTCTAATTGAGTTATAAATTTCAAGGGCTAGTTTGCAACGAGTGAATTCTGCCAAATTTCCAAAGTTAGCGAAAAATCAACCCCAGCTCAATCCTGAACATTCTGGAACAGTGATTTCAAGCTAATTTTTGAGTACTTTCCACTTAGATTCATGGAAAAGTGTCTTCTAAGAACTTTTAACACTTTCCAAAAGGTTTCCAATGGTATAAAGGTTTCTAATTTTGGGCTTATATCGAGAGAGATACGAATTTTCAAAGATTTATAATAAAACTGAAATTTTTCAATATTCAAGGCAAAGGAGTTTTTCCAAAACTCTTAATTCTCTTAGTATTATTCAAACGTTTTGCCCTCGATTTTCAAGATAAAAACTCAAATAATATTGTACTTAATAAAATGCAAGTTGAATCTCGATTTACGAGTAATTGAGGTTCATTTTTGTGAAATATTCTTTAGATTGTACTAGTGTACAATCTTCATTGATAATTGGGATATTTGAGTGATTATCCACTATTAATTGCCAGGCGCACAAGGAGACCTTCAAGAGGATCTTACAGTGGACACTTGAACTTCCAGAAAATAATTCTTATTGAATTGCTCGGTGAGTGTCAAGTGTGTGAATCCTTGGTACCTGCTTATTTGTTGTAATTGTTGGAGATTTTAAAAATGAAGGCGGGTGTGTACTTTATCACACTCGTTTTAATTTCGAATGAATGAATGAAATATATCGAATGAATGAATGAAATGCAATGGTATGTTATAACTACATACGTCGTTGGAGTGAATCTCCTCGACTTTCAAATGAATGGGGGACGCCCAAACTCATAGGTCGATCTTGGATTCGAGCCGGCAATGGGTTTGGTCGGGAACCTGGGCGAGCCATGAGATATATAAGCTCGACCTAATGAGAGGTCTTGATTGGCATACTCGTGGAGTATCGCCTTATAAATGACTTGTAGGCCCTGGAGGTGTACGGTGGATGGAGGGAAGTAAGTGGTGATCTACGGGAATGGAAATAGCGACCCGGTTGACGGAGGGTCATCTCGGGAAGGTATACGAATGGCATCGGCAGAGCGAGTGAAACTTAGCTCCTGAGAGCTACTATATCCTTGAATTGTTTCTGATTACTTTTCCTGCTCAAATGGTTGATTATTGAAATATCACGATTTTATGTAATAAATTTGGGATTGCTATTTGAACAATGTGCTTGCATGTGTGTTTTTGGCCTCACGAGCGTTTAGCTCACCCTATAGTTTTGTTTTCCTTAACAGGACCGAATCTCGGGGAAGTATGGAGAAACCCTTCGTTGTCCTTTTGTTTAGGATTTGTACTATATTTTGGCTTTGCCCTGGTTTGGGTTGTACTTTTGGAATTGAAATGTAAAATTTGGGCCCTGACGTGTATTTAGGATTTAAGTCGTATTATGATTATCCGATGTACTGGTTACATGTTAAGTGACTAGATAAGTTTGAACGCTTCCGCATTATTTATATTCATGTTGCTCGCTTCGAAATGTTCGGTTTGGTTTTAAGTTGAATGGAATTGCTTGAGTCCTGGCGAGAGTTGGGCAGGTGTCCCGCGGATACCCTTTCGTTCGCCTTAGAGAGATGTGGGGGCATCACAAAAGAAGTTAGCAATCAATCATCATGGCTCTGATTCACCAGACATTGATTTAAAGAATGCTGATACTCAAGACAGTCCAGCTGGAGAAGTGAATGACAGAGATACCACTACTCCTAATGATCTTCCAAGAACCTGAAAATTTGTCCAGAACCATCCCAGGGAGCTTATAATTGGTGATCCATCTGAAAAGGTCAGAACTCGTTCCTCTAGACACCTAGTAGATAATCATGCTTTAGTATCACATTTTGAACCTAAAAATGCTATTGATGCATTGAATGATGAGCACTGGATTTTAGCTATGGAAGAAGAGTTAATCCAATTTGAAAGAAACAAGGTTTGGACCCTGGTTGCTAGACCACAAGATCATCCTATCATTGGCACATAGTGGGTTTTTAGAAACAAAATGAATGATAAAGGGGAGGTTGTTAGAAATAAGGCCAGGCTGGTGGCTAAGGGATACACTCAAGAAGAGGGAATAGACTTTGATGAGTCCTTTGCACCTGTAGCTAGGCTGGAGTCCATTAGAATGTGTTCTAGCATTCGCATGTTTTAAGAATTTTAAATTATTTTAAATGGATGTTAAAAGTGCCTTCTTAAATGGCTTTATAGATCAAGAAGTCTATGTTCACCAACCTCCTGGTTTTGAAAATGAATCTTATCCAGATCATGTTTTTTAACTCTCAAAAGCTTTATACGAATTAAAACAGGCTCCTAGAGTATGGTATGAACGTTTGAGTGGGTTTTTGATTGAAAATGGTTTTAAAAGTGGCATTGTAGATACTACAATTTTCACAAAACAAAGCTCACAAGATCTTTTAATTGTGCAAATATATGTGGATGATATCATATTTGGTGCTACTAATGAGAGCTTGTGCAAGGACTTTTCCAACATCATGCAAAAAGAATTTGAAATGAGCATGATGGGAGAATTAAACTTTTTCCTTGGACTCCAAGTGGTTCAAACCCGAGATGGAACGTTTATAAATCAAACAAAATACACCAAGGAGCTGCTGAAAAGATTCCGAATGGAGAACTCAAAACCTGTTGGAACACCTATGTGCACATCTACCAAACTTGACAAAGATGAAGAAGGTACAAAAGTAGAGGAAAAGAAGTATAGAGGTATGATTGGAAGTTTACTTTATTTAACTGCCAGTAGGCCTGATATCATGTTTGTTGTATGCTTATGCGCTCGATTTCAATCCTGTCCAAAGGAATCACACTTGAATGCGGTAAAAAGAATTCCTAGATATCTTAAAGGAACCTTAAACTTTAGCTTGTGGTATCCAAAATGTCATGAACTTCCTTTATGTGGATTCTCTGATGCTGACTTCGGTGGCTGTAAAATAGATAGAAAAAGTACTACTGATATATGCAACTTTCTTGAAAATTGCTTAGTATCTTGGTTTAGTAAAAACAAAATGCTATCTCATTGTCCACTATTGAAACTAAATATATTGCTGCTGGTACTTGTTGTGCTCAATTGTTATGGATGAAAAACACATTGAATGATTTTGGTTTAATATATGAATGTGTACCTATGTACTCTGACAACACTAGTGCAATTAATCTGACAAAAAATCCCATTCAACACTCTAGGGCTAAGCACATAGATATAAAGCATCATTTCATTCGCGATCTTGTCTCCAAGGCTATAATCTGTATTCAGTTTGTTTGTTCTAAAGATCAAATCGTTGATATCCTCACAAAAGCTCTTCCACTGGATCAATTTGTGTTCTTGAGAACAAAACTGGGCGTTTCAAAAAAAATATTCTAAGTTTCGTTCTTTATCGGACGTCTGATGAATTGGAACGGACGTCCGACAGTGTTCTACGTCCCGTTTCAGAAAAGCACTGGTTCGGACGGTTGTGTCGGACGCTTCACTTCGTTCGGACGTCCGACACTCAAAAAATTGAGCCTTATAAGGCAGTTACCCATCTTCCTCAGTTCATTTTCTTCCACGGTCTCGGACGCAACCTCTCAGTTTCCTCTCATATTTAAAATTCAAATTCCTCTCTCCTCAAATCAAGTTCCAAGAAATTGACTCAACCAACGCTATTACACCTCTATTGCCCGTTAACCACCCATAAAAATCACTCCTAACCCCCAACTATCCCATAGTTCCCAATTCACATGCGATACCCTAACTTCTCATAACTCTCTCCTTGCGGCATTTCAGTGCATTCTCGTTTGTTCATACTGTATTCTTCCTCTATACACCACGTTCTGCACCAAAAACACATCCACATTGCATCATGGTTAGAATCAAAGGAGGATCTACTAGTGCCGGACGATCTTTTAGACTTAGAGATGAGGACATTGAAATTGTGGAACCGTCTACCGAAGCACCAAAAAAGAAGATTGTGACCCGTGGTGGTAAGGTGAAGCAAACTGCCCAAAGAAAAAAGGTTTCTCCAACTGCTGAACCATCTGATATGCAGACGGAAGAGCATAACTCTGAAGGAAACACAGTTGGTGGAAATAAGGAACCAGACCGGGCTACCCAGGATGATGAAACTGTCACAAGGTCATCTGGTAAAAGAAAAAGAACTGTAAAAAGGAAGAGCACTCCCCAATCCAAGAAAAAAGCAACCTGCTGATCCCTCTAATGATCAGCAGAATGAAGGAAACATTGCTGAGAATCAGCAAACACCTGAACCCTCCACCAGGAAATCTCCAAGGACAAGGACTGAGCCTCAAAATGTTGGGTCATCTGCCACACAAACCTCGAAAGGGAAACGTTCTGGGAAGGATCCAGTATCTCAGCCCGCAATAGAACCCATTCCTCTCCCAAAATTCATTGATGATGAAGCCATAGACAGATTTGAGTTGGCCTCTCAAAAAGGGTTCATCACCCAAAGACTCATTCTTCCCTATGAATTTCGTAAGCTTGATCTTGAACTTGTAATTAAGCTGTTTGAATTCCAAAAATGGGTTCATCTTCTGACCATTCCTAATACCTTTTACCCTGACATGATTTATCAATTCTTTGCTAATCTTAGAAAGGGAAGTTCACACACAGAACTCATCTCTAGGGTCAACTCTGTGAATATCACATTAACACCTGACATTGTAAATTCCATTTTGAAAACAAAAAATTGAAGATGGTTACAAAGGAAAAATTGCAAATTTTTTTTCGTATGAGGAATTTCCTTCTGCCTACCATCATTTTTACAATGCTAAACTCATGACCTATTTTCAAACCCACTTCAATACTCCTGCTGAGGCAAGATTAGATGATCTCAGTTCTCAGAATCTGATCATCTTCACCATCATCTCAAATCTGTTGGTGCCAACTGATGGTCACAGAACAGATGCAAACAAAATGGAACTCTACCTTTTCTACTATTTTGTTGAAAAAATCTGCATTGACTTTGGATTTGTGATGTGCAAGTTTCTGCTCAAAATTAGCTCTGACAGTCATAGGAAGCTCTCTTATGGAAAATTTCTGACCCCTATCTTTGCCCATTTTGAAATACCTTTTTCTGGAAAATCACCCAAAAACAGTGCTTCATCAGTTTTCTCAAAAGCTTATTTTGAAAGAAAGAACTTAAGATTTTTTGATGGCCATTGGTGCTATAAGGAAACTGTGGCTGAGTCTAGAAGGAAAAACTTTCATGAAACCTCTGTCACTCCTAGGACTCCACGTGATCAGTCAGACTATGTCTCTCCTTTCACCATTCATCCAAGAAAGTCTGCCAGCAAGTCCATCTCTTCCAATTCTGAGGTCATCTCCTTACTTGAAGACCTCAAACAGCATGTTATGCTTATTGAAGACCCCTGCCTAACAATCTTCTTTCATTGAAAAAAGGAACCTTCTTGTGCCTCCAATACCTGAAAATAATGAAAATGCTAATCAGAAAGAGCCAAGACCTGAGCCCACAGGGCCAACTACTGGTACTGAGGCCACACCAGCTTCCAGTTCTCAGCCCAAGGATAAAGGCAAGGCTCCAGCTACTGAGGAGGCATATGAAGAAGACGATGAAGAAACTGAGGAAGAAGTGGCTCCTGAACAGTTTCGTCTGGCCAGGAGGAGGCTTGGATCATCTAAAATCACAATCTAGGCACTGCTAGGTCACTGCACTTTATTTTTAGGACTATAGTTCATCTTTTGCACTGCAAAACTTTTCGTATGCAAAACTTTTGTACTAAGAGTTGTACTTCTGGTCTATACAACTGGATGTTTTCTACTGTTTATGGATGCTATGACTAAGTGTTTCTGATGTGAATGGATGTGTTTGTTATGAATGAATGTTTCTGATGATTCCGGATTTGCTGATATTATCTGATTGAAAAATCTTTGTTGTCAAATTTCTTGTTGCTAATGTTTCTGATGGATCGTGCTGATGTTATCTGATGTTGCTGGTATCAAAATTGATCAGACATGGTATACCTGTTTTTGTGATGACAGAAAGGGGGAGAAATGGATCAGCCCGAATTAGCACTAATGGTGTAAAGAAATTAGTTAGGGGGTGTCAGTTTTAGGGGGAGTTGCGTTTCTTTTCGTATACTCATGCACTTCGTTAGGAGGAATTGTTATCCCATCTCGTATTTCTACTTTTCCTTTTTGCTCTATCCAAGTGTTTTTTCATCATCAAAAAGGGGGAGATTGTTTATCTCAATTCATATTTTTTGATGATTACAAAACAAACGGATGTTACTAATACTTTTTGTAGAGATTCTTTTCAGAAATGGTACTAAACAAGTCTGAGAACTTAGAGCAAAAAGAAGATCAAAAAAGGTGAAAAGTGCTGAGGAAGATGTCGGACGCACAAAAGGAGAGTATCGAACGTCTGACATCCATTGAGTAACTTCAGACGTATGAAGAACTCAGACTCGGACGTCCGAAGAAGACAAGCCAGGGCTTCTATGTGATGGCCCCACTTCTCCCTAGGGCGTACCCCAGGGTTTGGCGGACCGCTTGCCCAACTCTCGCCGGGACTCAGTCGTTCCTTAATCAAGTCCGGAATACAACCAAAGGAATAACATACAACAATCCAAAACTTAAGTGAAACTTACATATACATTTCTATCTCAAAAGGGAGTACAATCATCGAATATATAAAGGTTCTCAATTCTTCATACAACCAGCCCGTGCCAAGCATTAGGGCGAGAACCATTACAAAAACAAAGAGTTAGACCAAGTTAGTCTATACCAAGCTCTCATCCTTGCGTGCCTTCCCCTGTTAAGGAAAACAAGCTAAAGGGATGAGTTAAAAGCCCAGTGAGGTTCCGAACACATAATCAAATAATCAATCCATACATTAAACATAGAATATTAATAATTCAAGAAACATTTAAAATGGAAAGCGATAATAACACATACATTAAAGGGATACGGGCTCACTGGGAGCCATAAATTCGTTTGTTCGTTCGTTTTCCTGACATTTCCCCTTATTCCTTCATTCTTTTGAAGATTGCATTTTTGTAAGTAAAACCCTCGTTCGTTCTTTCGTTTCATTCACCCCTTTCCTGGCTTTTGGCCAGGCTCCACCAACCTACAAGGTAATACTCGAGTATACCAAACGTTCACACCCAGCGTCACCATATAGCTCGACCAAGTCCGCTTGTGACAGCCCCACCTCCCCCTAGGGCGTACCCCAGGGTTCGGCGGGCCGCCTGCCCAACTCTCGCCGGGACTCAGTCACTCACTACAGTTCTCAAATAAATACAAGATAAATCTCAAATATAATTCAAATGTTCCAACATTTACATATCAAAAGCGAAGCGTCCACGCTTCCACTACGCCACTCTGATCCATGATTCCAATTCTTATACAAGAGGAATTCCACAACAAGCCTTCCTTCGCCACGAGCCCTGTGGAGGGGAATAAAATATTTTTGGGGTGAGTTAGAAGCTCAGCGAGTAACCATTAAAATTAGTAATCAAATCGGTTTCACAATAGTTCATTTCAATGATGTCATAAATCAATGATGTCAAGAATCAAATGATAAGTCCAGAAACAATTACAACATTTACAATACATTAAAATGGAGTATCAATAATTCAAGGAACATTTACAATGGAAAGCGATAGTAACATTCATTAAAAGGATACGGGCTCACATGGAGCTATTCGTTTGTTCGTTCGTTCCCCTGACATTTCCCCTTATTCCTCCAATCGTTTGAAAATACATCTTTTGTAAGTAGAATCCCTCGTTCATCCTTTTGTTCGTTCATCCCCTTTTCCGGACGTTGACCGGACTCCACCCATCCGACCATTGGCCGGACTCCACCCATCCGGACGTAGCCGGACTACAAGGTAATACTCGAGTATACCAAATTCACCTAGGGTCACCATATCACCCGACCGAGTCCACTTCTGCCTCGAGTCGATCGGTAACGAAGGGTAGTGGCCAGTTCAGCCCAAAGGCTTACATCATGCGCAACTAGCATTTAATCATGAATCATTGAAAATTTCATATTTATTTAGGTCGAGTGCGATAAAGTACACACTCGCCTAGAAAACTCGTTTTAACAATCATCGAAAGCACTTAACACATTATCAATCAATAATACAAGTCATGAAGTCAATAAAATATAGCAAATAAGAAACACTCAAATGCAAGCACGCACGATATGCAAGAAAACAGTTCAAAAGTAACTTTGGAAACAGTTTAAAGGTAAATAATGCAAGAAAACAGTACAAAAGTAACTTTGGAAACAGTTCAAAAGTAAATAATGCAGGAAACGGTTCATAAATAACTTCAGAAATAGTTTGAGGTCACTCACCTCCATGGCTCAGAAATCATCCATCATATAACATTGCCTTGCTCAAATCCAAGTCTTAGATCACAAACTCAATGCAAACAAGTCCCTTCAAAGTTCGGACAGCACTTCCCCTGAATTTGCTAACTTTTCCAGCCATCATGGCTTCATTATTTCCTCAACCAGTCCCAAAGGTACACACACAACAACAAGTTCATCCAATAGTCATTCAGCAAGCTCTAAGTAGTACTAGTACAAGTCAAGCTAGGGAAAAGTCCGGAAATGAAAGTTAAGCTCAAAACCAGAAAAATAGCTTTTGACATCCTTTTACGGTAATGGCACCAAAGGCACTACGATTGTCGGATGAAGGTATAAGATACACCATTTCGAAACTAAGAAATAGGGCTACAATATCACAGAAGGTCACTCAACCCAGTTTTGAGTGCAAACAGGTCAAAAATGCAAGATACCACATAAAAAACGTAAAACAGATTCACCAAAACGCATTCTACCGGAAATATCATAACTCAGGCTCTACAAGTCCAAATCCAGAAATTCTAAAACCAGCTGAAAGCTAAGAAACAAGGCTTCAATTCATCAGAAGACCTCAACAACCAATTCGGAAGCATTCCTAACGAAAACAACCAATTACAGAAGCAATTCCCAAATTCGGGTAAAACCAGGACAGCAAGGGTAATTTTGACTTTTCTCACGTTACTCTACTCCGATTGACCTGAAATTTTGTAGGCACCTCTAAAATATCATTCCCTACAACTTTCATGTTTTAAGCCAAGACCAATTCAGCCTCTAACTAGGAGCTAAAAATTCAGGCAGAATGTTCCTTCACAAAACCTAGTTTTCTGAAATTTCTTCCAAAACAGAAATTGATTGCAATTGACCCCTTTTTCCACCTCATAGAGTCCTTAAACATCATTTCCAATCATCATAGATGACCACATACTCATATTCATATGAAAACAGAAAAATCCCCAATAATTATAAAACTTCACCAATTCAACCAAAATCAAGATATCTTTCACCCAATCACACATTTAATCAACACAACTCATTACTTTGACATTATCAAGACCAAAGGAAGCGTTCCCTAGTTACTCACCTTGAAACCAAAGAAAAGAGACCACTTAGCACCATAAGTTTCCAAATAACTTCACCAATCACTTCAAGACCACTTAGCAAAGAGATTTTATGGAATGATTTGGAGTTTTATTGGTTGGATTTGAAGATTGAGCAAGAAATAGAAGGAAGAAATTGATAGCTTTTCTTTCTTTTCCTTTGAGAGAGAGCCAGCTATGAAGCTTTAGAAATAAGGATGATTTTTGACAATTTTTTGATTTATTTGGTAAAGTAGGGAATAGTGTAGTCAAAGTCCAAGACTTAATCTTATGGTGACACTTGTCACCTTTTGGTTCAAAACTTATCTTTTTGTCTCTCCAATACAAATATCTTAACACTTTGTAAAATAATATCACTTAATACAAAATTCCAACAAGTTGTCAAAAATATAATGCATTTACCACACTTGCAGGTCCCACGTTCAAAATACGCTCTTAATTTCTCAAAAACTAACCGATACTAGAAAAATCATTTTAAAACTATCTTTGCTCATAAACTTTATCTGGGGAATTTTTCTAATCAAGAAAATGTAGAAAAGGCGGGCGATTAAAAAAAATAAACCCTAGAAAATTAGAAAATTTCCGGGTTCTCAAACTCATTTTTTTTTCAGGGCGTCACACCGCTTCTGGCTCGAGTCGATCGGTAACGAAGGGCAGGGCCCAATTCAGCCAAACGGCTTACATTCATGCGCAACTAGCATTTAATCATTTAATCATTGAAAATTTCATATTTATTTAGGTCGAGTGCGATAAAGTACACACTCGCCTAGAAAACTCATTTTAACAATCATTGAAAGCACTTAACACATTATCAATCAATAATAACAAGCCAATAAGTCAAGAAAATATAACAAACAAGGAACGCTCACCTATGTACGCAAAACAACGTGTCAAATATCCTTAGTCATCGAGAAAACCTAAGATTAAATGAGAAAGAATATTACAGCTCATCTAGTACAAACAATTAGGTGAAATCAAAGAACTCTACAAATGATGAGTAGAACGTATAAAGAGACTTTAAAGTGAAACGAGGACATTTGGACCCGTGGATAAAATAACTAGGGTTTCATAGACCAAATATAAAACCAAACTCAAAAGGGCTATAAAATTTTCTAATGTAAACACTTGAACCAAAGACAAGTCAGAATCCAACTAGATAGGCTAAGAAATACTGTTTTCGGAATCGTTTATATGGTTAAAAATCATTTCATATTCAAGTAGATA